AAGCAGGCCGTAGCTCAGACAGTCAGAGTTTCTCCTCCAGCCTCTTAGTGTTTATCCTGGTTGGCCCCCACTCGGCCGTTTTGGACACCCCTCGGTTTGTCAGATATGAGAGCAGTTATCAGGTCAACAGGTGTTGCAGCGATGGAAGCGGTCAAGAGAAGTGGTTCAGATAGAAGTGATTGTACCCGACCTAAAAAGCCTCTGCATGTTTCTAATAAGCTCCACGAGCAGAAACGTGCTCAAACTAGGATCAATATTGGAGATGCTTTTGCTTTTTTTCAGACTTTTTAAGTGTCCCTCGGTCTGTTTCAGGTCCGAGCTCATCCAGCTGGTGACGGTGACGCAGAAGAAAGCGGAGAGTTCGTACAGAGAGCTGATCGAGCAGCAGATCTACATGTACAAGAGCAGGTAACCACGCTGCTCACACAAACTCTACTACATCCTGATAAACCTGAGAATGTTCTGACTCATCTCTGTCTGCGTGTCACAGCTGGGTGAAGGTCACCGAGCACCTGACGGACAGGAACATGCCCGTCTTTCAGCCCGGCACCAAGGTCAGAACTTGATTTGATTCTCTCTCTCTCTCTCTCAGATTCTGGTGCGGACCAGTTTTTTTTAAAGCAGAGGCGCAGTGAGGCCCCCGATGTCTCTCTGACGGGTCATCACTGATGTGTTCAAACTTTAATGTTCATACAGAGCGGGACCTGAACATCAGAGACCCCTCTTTAATATCTCAGTTATTTCAGGGTCTTAAAGTACGAGCATATTTTAGTAGTTGTAGTCATTTTTATTTCGGTCAACATACAAAGTTCTCCACTAGGAAATACGCAGAACAAAAAGAACAAAAATACAAACTCCACAAAGGCATTCATGAAAAAACAAGAAAACTAAAAAAAAACATTTTGACCAGAAAGGTGTCGGCTGAAGCTTTAGCTTATTATACCTACCCTTGTTACAAATCGTATTATTTAAGACACTACTAGTTTGGTTACAAAAAAAAGAACACATCAGAACTTTTTTTTGTACATTTTCTTTTGTACATTTTTTTAAAACATTTTTTGTACATTTCTTCTTTACATTATTTTGTACATTTTTTGTTGTTGTACATTTTAAAAAAATGTTTAATTTAAATTGTACTGTGTTCACTTTTTGTTTGCAATCTTTGCTCTTTGCTGTTGTAACAATGTAAATTTCCCCGTTGTGGGATAAAGAAAGGATTATCTTATCTCAACAAAATTTGTTCCGACTCAAACGGTTTTGAGCAGATTTGAGATCTACTAGATCGCTGAATTTTAAAGCGTGTATGTTTAAAAAAATAGTGCATTCGTTGGTTTGTAATAATCAGATCTATTTACAATGCTTATAGCTTTTTTTCTGTAGCATGGAAATGGGATGAGTGTTGGTTTTGTATGAGTTCCCCCAGACCTCCACACAGTAATGTATGGAACTATGAGTGCACAATACAATATATACAGTGAGTTTTGAGTCAGGAATTCTTTAGTTTTACAAAGTGTTGCAATGGTTTGAGACATTTTTGTTTATGCATTATTAATGTAAAACATCATTTATGATCAATTATCACCCCCAGAAATGTATGCTCATTCACTCTATCTATCTCAACATCATCAATCATCATTTTTACTTGCTTATCACCAAATACGATGAACTTTGTTTGATTTAAATTCAGTGACAACTTGTTGATGTCAAACCATTTCTTAATGGTATTTCATGAGATGTGTAGAAAAAAAAGATTCAGTCGGAGGCCTTGGTGGTCCCTGTGATCGATGTAACCGAGTTTCTCTCCTTCCTGCAGCTGAAGGATAAGGAGCGCCAGGTGATAAAAGACAAATTCAAGGTGAGTTTCACTCGTCCTCCAACACAAACCCGAGAGCCTCACAGTCGTAATGTGACCGTGAGAAACAAACAAACAGACAACTCTTTTTTCTTCAGGGTTTTAACGACGGCCTGGAGGAGTTGTGTAAGATCCAGAAGGGCTGGGCCATCCCGGACAAAGAGCAGCGAGACTTCATCCGTCAGTCTCAGAAGAGAGTGGTGTCTGACGCCTACAGGAGCTTCCTGCAGAGGTGAGAGCGAGCATGACTTTTCATCAAACCTCTAGCAGTGCTGCCCCCTACTGGCCAACCGGCCCCAAGCTGTTAACTGCCCTGTGATTGGTCCACATATTCTCCTCTCCTGGACACAGAGTCAAACAAAGATAAACATGATCTTTACATCTTGAACCTCTTGTGTTTTTAACGTAGGCTAACAAGTAGCATGAGCTAACTATGCTATCGACTTGACCTTTTTAAGATTTATTTTTGGGCTTTTTTTGTGCCTTTAATGGAGAGACAGGACAGTGGATAGAGTTTGAAATCAGGGAGAGAGAGTTGGGAATGACATGCGGGAAAGGAGCCACAGGCTGGACTCGAACCCGGGCCGCCCGCCCAGGGTGCGCGCACTAACCACTGCTCCACCAGCGCCCCAGACTTGTACACTCGTCTCCTCTCTTCTTCTTCTTCTTCTTCTTCTGTGCTTATAACTTCAGTGATCAAGTGCTGCTCCACACCTATCATCTCCAGCTCCTAAACAATACGCTCAGCTTCAGTCGCCATGGTTACCTGCAGAGAAACATGAGGACCTGATACTGAAAGTGCAGAGCTAGGCCGACACATCAACACATGTGCTCATGAGAGGCTTTAGAATAAAAAAGTAGAAACTGGAATGCAGCATTATATCAGCGTTCTAGATCTTTCCCCCGTTCCAGCCAATCAGAGCCCTCCTTGCTCTTCACACTGACAGCTTCTCGTTCCTCTTTTGTGTCTTCCAGGTGTGCCAACATCTCGTTCACCAAGAACCCGGAGAAGTATCACAAGTATCGAGTGGAGGAGGTGGAGGAGATGATCGAGAGGCTGTTCGACACGTCCGCCTGATTAGCCCCGCCCCCTCATCCTCACGCTCTCCAAACAGACGTCTCCCTGAACACAACACGAGACGCTCCCCCTCCCCCCTCCCCCTCCTCTCTCTCTTTGTGTCTGAATGTTTTGTACAAAGAAACCAACCTGATGTATTTATGTAATGTAGCCGCCACAGCTTCACATTTCAAACTAGTAAAAGGAAATGAGAGGATGTTTGTTTTATTTCAGTCACATAAAGAGGAAAACACAGAGCTGAACACATCAGACTGAGCTGTTTCATTTGCACTTCACAAGAGGGGCAGATATGATGAGATTAGTCTTCTTTCTGATCCTTTTCATTCAAAATTTGAGATTTTATGTTTGTTTGTTTTTTTCTTAACTTTATTGTTTGTTTGAATGAAATAACATTTACAAATAAAAACAATCTCAGCATTCGTTTCCAGAAACAGCTGCTCCTTCCTGAACGTCCGCTGAGGTCAACGACAGAAGAAACGCATCGTTAAGGAGCAGACAGAGAACATGGTAACGAGAATTCAGGGTGTTTTTTGTTTTTACTGCAAGAGAAACGTTAGAAATACTGTCAATGAGATGATTTATTTTTTTATTACTCTTTATTGAAAATTTCAATACAACACACAATACCCCCACCCCAAGAGACCAAACAGTATATTCGACTAAACAGAAAGAATTACAGAACAATATAGAAAACAAATGAATAATAATTTACAAAAAATAGCAATGTAAAAAATAAACTAAAAAAAACTATATATATGTAAATTTACATGCTCTTACACTCTTGCACATAAATGTATATACACAAAAGGAAATAATAATATCAGACTTAAATTAAAAAACAACTACAATAACATAAATTTATTATATGAATTCAGAAAAAATAAATGGTGTATTTGATGATTAGTGTAAAAGTCTGTAACTGAAAAACTCCAGTTTCACATGAATGTAACAGTGTGATGTAACAGTGTGATGTCACAGGGACAGACGAGCGTGCTCAGTCGATCCCACATCTGATCCAGTGGAGACAGGACGGTGGATAGAGTCAGAAATCAGGGAGAGAGAGAGAGCGGGAAAAGGAGCCACAGGTTGGATTTGAAGAGAGACCAAAGACAGATTTGAACCCAGGCCACCCGCTTCGAGGAACATCGCACTAACCACTAGGCCACCGGCTTCCTTTTTTTATTTAGTTGTTTATTTAAGATATTTTTCGGGCATTTTCTTGCCTTTATTGGAGAGGACAGCTGAACTGTATCCACTCCTAAACTCACCTGCTGCGCTCTCATTGGCTGGAGGAAACACACCAGCTCCGCCCAGAAACGTCCCAAGTCAACCAGAACAAATCAGAACAGTAAAATCCAGTCAGAGGACAGAGTCTCTGCAGACACAGTCACCACCACACATGTACGGAGGCCCAGAAGGGACAAATGAAGAAGCCTACTGACTCTTTATTCAAAGTGACTTCTTTCAGTCGATGACAGCAGCTGTCACTTGTTGCTAGGCAGACACAGACAGCGGTTACATCACAGCTTGATTATTATGTTGTGTAGTGCACCATCATGGAAATACAAAGACACCTTTTCTCATATCTCACATTACAACAACAACAACAACACTCAGGTTTCCAGAAACAGTGAATCATCATGCAGCAGATTCTTAAAAAAGTCTAAACAGACACAGACGACAGCGAGGCTCTCTGAGGTCCACGCTATACATCGAGTCACACAACAGATAAGAAATGATGCTGAAGGGAATGGAAGTCTGATGCTTACATAACATCCAATCCCTCCATCTTAGAGCCCACCCAGGAACATTTAGACTATATTGTTCAACCCCAAAACCTCCTGAGTCTCATGAGCCTTTAGCAGGGGCAATTCTAGAGTCTGTTGGGGCCCTCTGCAAAAATCAATCAGATGGGGCCCCCTTAGGGAGGTTTCTGTCCTGTCGTTTTCCACATGTCGCCTTCCTCTCAAAAAGAATCCAGACTCGAGACGTCTACGTCCAACTCTTTCAGAATGTGATGCACCTCAAAGAGTTTCTAGGTATGCATCTATGTTCAGTTGGGCCTCCTCCTCTTCTTAAAGGTCAAAGGTCGTCGTCTTTACTTGGACGTCTCCTCACTGCTCGCCGTGTTCACCGGCTGCACCGCGTGCACCTTGTTGACGGCGTCCCTCGTCCTCGGCGAGCAGGTGAACACCTTCCTGAAGCCTTTCCTGAAGTGCTTGGAGACGAGCGCGTACACGACGGGGTTGAGGCAGGAGTTGGCGTACGCCAGCAGGTGCGAGAGGATCCGCAGGACGTAGGTGGCGTGGTTGAGCGGGAAGCGGCCGGACCACATGCAGAGGACGACGAGGTGGTGAGGCAGCCAGCAGACGCAGAAGAGAGCGGCCACGACCACGATCATCTTGGTGACCTTGCGCTTGGCTCGCCGCGACTCTGACGCGTCCTTCACGGGGTCCACGCTCGTCCACAGGTGGCGGACGGTGCGGGCGTAGGTGAGGCCGAGCACCAGGATGGGGACGAGGTAGCCGAAGACGAATGTGCACACGTCCATGACGAAGCGTGGTTTGGACTCCCAGGCCGGGATGCACAGCACGGCGCCCGCAAGCTCCATCTGAGTGAAGTAACTGAGGTACGGAGCGGAGAACAGCAACGCCAAGAGCCAGAGCAGCACGATGGAGGCAATGGCGTTCTTTGGCGTCCTCATCTGTCTGGAGCGGAGCGGGTAGCAGATGGCCAAGTACCTGAAAGGTCAAAGGTCAAAGGAAGACAGCGTTCAGGTTAGTTTGAATTTATCATTAATAATCCTTCCAGTTAAGTTAGAAAACACTGTTTCTGGGCGCTGGTGGTTATGCGCACACCCCATGTACAGAGGCTGTAGTCTTCATAGCTGGCGGTCCAGGTTCAAATCCCACCTGTGGCTCCTTTCCTGCATGTCATTCCACTCTCTCTCTCTGATTTTTGACTCTATCCACTGTCATAACTCTCCATTAAAAGCACAAAAATAAATCTTATAATATGTCATTGTGAAATCAAATGACTGTTTCTCTGGTTTAAATAGACCCTGCATTACGATGGATGATGCAACATCCAAAATATTCAGAGCTCCCCCTGCTGGCTGGCTGCAGTATAGGTCATAAACCTCGCCTTGGGACACAGGTCAAACTTTAAACACGTCAAAGAAAAGTTTATGTTACCGACGAATAACAAAGTCGACTTCGACTGTATGCAGACGACACTGTGATGTATCTTCACCAAAATTTTTGTAGAAACGATCCGCACTGTGAGAATATTTGAATATTCAATGTCAGAAAAAAAAAAAACACTCTTTCTTGCTTTGGTTCAAACTTGGAGATCTAACTACGTTTATTTCACAACCTTCTCCGGGAACAGCGTCTGAAATAACTTCACTCCTCCTGCCTCAAAGGTGGAACCAGCTCCACAGCTGACCACCTCACAGTGCAATATTAACCTTTAAAAACAAAAAACAATTATATAATGTGAAAAAATGTGTGCAATAACTTCAGGTGCAATAAGAGATGTAGAAAGTAGACACAAGAAAACATATTTATATTTTCATGTGTCCGCCCCCCCCCCTGCAAGCTGCAGGTTATGGAGTTGATTGAAGATTTTTCTACTGAATGATTTTCATTTCCTCCCGTGTATTATCTATATTATCTAACACTGCAGTGACTTCTGGAGCACGATCATTAAAAACAGGAAATGAATGAATATCTGAAATCAGTGCAGTCTGACTCTGTGTGTTTTACTCACCAGGACACTAATTGAGCTTTGCCTGTCAGTGGTGATGGTTTGTTTGTGTGTGTGAGTGTTCATCAATCAGTGCTGATTGGAGGAAAGCTGAGTTATGAAACAAAGTGAAGAGCACATTTCCCCTTTTTTAAAACTAAAAGAGAGACGAAACACAAAAGTTTAAAATCTCTTTTTCTCTTGATTGCTCAGCAGGTGAGTCATAAAACGCTTCTCTCTGACAACATTAGGATCTGATCAGGTGTTTTTTATTCTTACCTGTCCACGGAGACAGCGGTCAGCGTGAAGATGCTCGCGTACATGGTGAGATAAATGATGAAGTGAACGACTTTACACACCACGGCGCCGAACACCCACTGGTCCAGAGTGTAGATGGTGGCCTGGAAGGGCACGCAGAACACGATGAAGCACAGGTCCGCTATCCCGAGGTTCAGGATGAACAGGTTGGTGGTCTCATCTGTCCGTTACGAAAGAGCACGCGAGCACCAGAGAGTTCCCCACCGTGCCCACGAGGAAGATGAGCGTGAAGCCCACAGAGATGAGCACGGACTCCGCTCTCCACGAGGAGGAGGAGGAGAGGAGGAGGAGGAGAGGTCCATCTTCATGTGGTCACTCATCACTCACACCACACCGGTCACATATCAGTCCATCACGTGAACTCTCGGCTCGTGGAGACACGCGCGTCTGCT